GGAACCGAACTCACGACCTTGCGCTTGCCAGGCAGGCGCTTTTGCCGCTGAGCTAAATCCCCAGCCCAAGTTTTTTAGATATTATTTGGGGGAAAATAATTGCTTGGGAACAACTCTACTTGCATGGAAAAGTTAGGAAAATGCCATTGCTTTTTGTTTTAACTAGTACTATTAAAAATAAAGTAGTACTACAATTATATGGGGAGTGATGTAAACAATTTTGATCATTGTTTTTGCCTTTAAAATTTAACTTTAGAGCCAGGTGTGGTGGCACATGCCTGTAATCCCAGCACTTGGGAGGCTGAGGCAGGAGGTTCATTGAGAGTTTGAGACCAGCCTGAACTGCATAGTGAGACCCTGTCTCAAACATACCAAAACAAAACAAAAAAAACAAAACCAAAAAAACCTTTAAATAAAATATGTTACTGTTATTTACTCTACTATGAAATTATAGCAGTTAGGATTAGTTTAAAAATACCTTTCACATCTTGCCCTAATGAAAGATTTTATGGCTTATTTCCGTATGTGTTGTCTTAGGAGCAAAGCTTTTGTGAAGCTTGAGGTACCTGTGATAGTTTTCATTTTATTCTAAAATTCAGTTTGCTTGCTTTTTTTCCTTTCCTTTGCTTTTTTTTTTTTTTTCCTTTTTGGGGGACTGGAAACAGGATCTCATTGTGGAATTCCCAGGCTCATTTTACTTTATTGAGAGAATATCAGTAAAGAATGCCACATTCAGTGTAGGAAGAAACAGCTTCCTCTGAAGGTGTATCATTTGTGAAATGCGTCTTGTCTCCTGGTGAGACCATGTCTTGCCTTATGGAGGCATTAGCCTGAGGGCCTAAAGACTTTACAATGTAGTAAAATGACTATAATACATTAAGTAATTTAAACTGGGGCAAAGTTTTTTAGGGAAATGGTAATAGACATTTGTTTCCACCATTAATCAAAGAAAAATATTACCCAGTTGGCCCTCTGTATTTTATGTTCTGTGCAGCTGTGAATCAAAAATATTTGGAAAATAGAAACTTTACATTCAACATGCACAGACCTTATTTTCTTGTCAGTATTCCCTAAGCAATACAGAATAACAACTACTTATATAACATTTACTTTATAGTAGGTATTATAAGTAATCTGGAGATGATTTAAAGTATAGGGGAAAGTATGCACAGGTTATATGTAAATAGACCAGTGTATATTAGGGACCTGAGCATCTGTAGATTGTGATATCTGCAAGGGCTGCTGGAATCAAACTCGCATGGATATTGAAGGATTACTGTACTTACTCTTCTTTTACATATATAGCATGTATATAGCATTTTATATATATAGCACTTTTAATGACATTGAGATAGAGATACTTCTGATTTTTTTCAATTCTGTTCAGAAGTATATTCAGATTTCTAATATGAAACTGTACAATCATATGGTACTGAATGAGTCAGTTGTAAAGTACTTTTGAAATTCATGTGGTAGTGCTGATTAGGTAAATATTTTACCTATATGTCTACCTAATACGCTACATAATCCAGATGTGCATTTTAAAAGTCTGTTGTTTATGTTATCAACTTGGCCCCCTTTTTCCTATGTGTTCCACATAGTTGTGGATCAAAAATATTTGTGAAATAGAAACTGTGTTCATATTCAACATGTAGAGACTTTTGTACTGGTGTTAGTTCCTATAAGATAATACTTTCAATTAAATCTTTCCCTGAAGACTGGATAGGTCTGTGTGTTTGTGTGTGTGTGTGTGTGTGTGTGTGTGTGTGTGTTTACATATGTATGTGAATTCATCTGGTTGTATAAAGAAACAAAAATCTCAGAGCCAGGCATGGTTGCACATACCTGTAATGGCAGTACTTGGGAACTTGTGCCAGGAGGATTACTGCGAGTCCAGGACCAGACTCAACTATATAGTGAGACCTTGCCTTAAAAAACAAACAAAAAACACCCCAACCTTCACGATGCACCAACTTTCACTTGTGATAAACCATAGCGTTACATTTTGAGGCTCTTTCTGCTCAAGCCAAATCTTTTGGTTAGGTGGTTTCCCATCTTGGTATTTCTAGGAGTGTGGGGATGATTTCATGAAGACAGGGGGTTTTACTGTAGTTTTTTAGTTAGTACTGAACATATTTCTCCTTTTAGCTGTGCGATCAGAGAAGAAACGCCTTAGGAAACCAAGCAAGTGGCTTCTGGAATATACAGAAGAATATGATCAGATATTTGCACCTAAGAAAAAGCAAAAGAAGGTACAGGAACAAGCGCACAAGGTATGTTCCAACATTTTCAGCAAACAGTCATAGGTCTTCAGGAGAAAGCTATGATATTTTGGTTTCACTATCATATTTTACCTCTCTGAGACAATTTCCTTAACTGGGATGTTGATTTTTCATTTTTTTTATCAATCAGTTATTATTCATTCACGAAAAGTATTATTGAGTCTACATATTCTGAGTTGGTATATATATGTATACTTTTTTCTTTTTGCTTTCAAAGAGTGTTTAGTGATACCAGCCTGGGTGACTTAGTGAGAACTTGTCTCAAAATTAAAAAAAAAAAAGCAGTGTATGAGTGTGTTTCTGTGTGTCTGAGGAGTATACCTCAGTCCCCTATACCCTGGGGGGAAAAAAAAAAACTTAAATTGTTTTTAAGGGGAGGGATTACTGGGGAGTGAACCAAGGGCCCTATGCATGCAAGGCAGGCACTCCACCACTATATTATATCCCCAGCTTTTTTTTTTTTTTTTTTT